AAACGTTTTCTGTAAGTCTTCACAAGGTTTTCACACACTGTTGCTGGTATTTTGGCCCATTCCTCCATGCAGATCTCCTCTAGAGCAGTGATGTCAACTCCCTCCAAAGATTTTCTATGGGGTTGAGATCTGGAGACTGGCTAGGCCACTCCAGGACCTTGAAATGCTTCTTACGAAGCCACTCCTTCGTTGCCCGGGCGGTGTGTTTGGGATCATTGTCATTCTGAAAGACCCAGCCACGTTTCATCTTCAATGCCCTTGCTGATGGAAGGAGGTTTTCACTCAAAATCTCACGATACATGGCCCCATTCATTCTTTCCTTTACACGGATCAGTCGTCCTGGTCCCTTTGCAGAAAATAAGCCCCAAAGCATGATGTTTCCACCCCCATGCTTCACAGTAGGTATGGTGTTCTTTGGAGGCAACTCAGCATTCTTTGTCCTCCAAACACGACGAGTTGAGTTTTTACCAAAAAGTTCTATTTTGGTTTCATCTGACCATATGACATTCTCCCAATCCTCTTCTGGATCATCCAAATGCACTCTAGCAAACACGTCTAGCACTGCAGGATTTGAGTCCCTGGCGGCGTAGTGTGTTACTGATGGTAGGCTTTGTTACTTTGGTCCCAGCTCTCTGCAGGTCATTTACTAGGTCCCCCCGTGTGGTTCTGGGATTTTTGCTCACCGTTCTTGTGATCATTTTGACCCCACGGTGTGAGATCTTGCGTGGAGCCCCAGATCGAGGGAGATTATCAGTGGTCTTGTATGTCTTCCATTTCCTAATAATTGCTCCCACAGTTGATTTCTTCAAACCAAGCTGCTTACCTATTGCAGATTCAGTCTTCCCAGCCTGGTGCAGGTCTACAATTTTGTTTCTGGTGTCCTTTGACAGCTCTTTGGTCTTGGCCATAGTGGAGTTTGGAGTGTGACTGTTTGAGGTTGTGGACAGGTGTCTTTTATACTGATAACAAGTTCAAACAGGTGCCATTAATACAGGTAACGAGTGGAGGACAGAGGAGCCTCTTAAAGAAGTTGTTACAGGTCTGTGAGAGACAGAAATCTTGCTTGTTTGTAGGTGACCAAATACTTATTTTCCACCATAATTTGCAAATAAATTCATTAAAAATCCTACAATGTGATTTTCTGGAAAAAAAATCTCAATTTGTCTGTCATAGTTGACGTGTACCTATGATGAAAATTACAGGCCTCTCTCATCTTTTTAAGTGGGAGAACTTGCACAATTGGTGGCTGACTAAATACTTTTTTTCCCCACTGTAAATACACACACATGCTAACACACACACATATACATATGTTGTGGAAGATAGACATATGTTGTACAATGCACAGGAGTATGTTCATAATGAGACCTCAGACTTCAGAATAAACCTTGTGGTTTCAACGGCCATTGTAACATGAGAAATCCAACAGAATATTGTGTTGATTTTATGTTTTATCTGAGATCGGCAGAAACCTGATAAGACTGAGATATTGCATACTCCTGGGGGTACTTCTCCTCCATACATAATACCTCATACAGTGAGGGAAAAAAGTATTTGATCCCCTGCTGATTTTGTACGTTTGCCCACTGACAAAGAAATGATCAGTCTATAATTTTAATGGTAGGTTTATTTGAACAGTGAGAGACAGAATAACAACAAAAAAATCCAGTAAAAAGAATGTCAAAAATGTTATAAATTGATTTGCATTTTAATGAGGGAAATAAGTATTTGACCCCCTCTCAATCAGAAAGATTTCTGGCTCCCAAGTGTCTTTTATACAGGTAACGAGCTGAGATTAGGAGCACACTCTTAAAGGGAGTGCTCCTAATCTCAGCTTGTTACCTGTATAAAAGACACCTGTCCACAGAAGCAATTCATCAATCAGATTCCAAACTCTCCACCATGGCCAAGACCAAAGAGCTCTCCAAGGATGTCAGGGACAAGATTGTAGACCTACACAAGGCTGGAATGGGCTACAAGACCATCGCCAAGCAGCTTGGTGAGAAGGTGACAACAGTTGGTGCGATTATTCGCAAATGGAAGAAACACAAAAGAACTGTCAATCTCCTTCGGCCTGGGGCTACATGCAAGATCTCACCTCGTGGAGTTGCAATGATCATGAGAATGGTGAGGAATCAGCCCAGAACTACACGGGAGGATATTGTCAATGATATCAAGGCAGCTGGGACCATAGTCACCAAGAAAACAATTGGTAACACACTACGCCGTGAAGGACTGAAATCCTGCAGCGCCCGCAAGGTCCCCCTGCTCAAGAAAGCAGATATACAGGGCCGTCTGAAGTTTGCCAATGAACATCTGAATGATTCAGAGGAGAACTGGGTGAAAGTGTTGTGGTCAGATGAGACCAAAATCGAGCACTTTGGCATCAACTCAACTCGCCATGTTTGGAGGAGGAGGAATGCTGCCTATGACCCCAAGAACACCATCCCAACGTCAAACATGGAGGTGGAAACATTATGCTTTGGGGGTGTTTTTCTGCTAAGGGGACAGGACAACTTCACCGCATCAAAGGGACGATGGACGGGGCCATGTACCGTCAAATCTTGGGTGAGAACCTCCTTCCCTCAGCCAGGGCATTGAAAATGGGTCGTGGATGGGTATTCCAGCATGACAATGACCCAAACCACACTGCAACAAAGGAGTGGCTCAGTTGTTGTCAAGGCAACAAAGGAGTGGCTCAAGAAGAGGCACATTAAGGTCCTGAAGTGGCCTAGCCAGTCTCCAGACCTTAATCCCATAGAAAATCTGTGGAGGGAGCTGAAGGTTTGAGTTGACAAACGTCAGCCTCGAAACCTTAATGACTTGGAGAAGATCTGCAAAGAGGAGTAGAACAAAATCCCTCCTGAGATGTGTGCAAACCTGCTGGCCAACTACAAGAAACGTCTGACCTCTGTTATTGCCAACAAGGGTATTGCCACCAAGTACTAAGTCATGTTTTGCAGAGGGGTCAAATACTTATTTCCCTCATTAAAATGCAAATCAATTTATAACATTTTTGACATGCGTCTTTCTGGATTTTTTGTTGTTGTTATTCTGTCATTAAAATTATAGACTGATCATGTCTTTGTCAGTGGGCAAACGTACAAAATCAGCAGGGGATCAAATACTTTTTTCCCTCACTGTACATCTATACAGTATATGTAACCATGAATACAGTAATATCTGCAGTTTTTAAAGACACACATCTAAATAACCTATATGTTTGAAAATACATTTACATTTACATCGGTTGTAATGTATAGGCTGTTGTGAATCCAGACATCCAATATCCCTGAATATGAAGTGTAATGCCTCTTATTTCATGGGTTATGATCTCACCTGATGACATGTTTGTCACAGATAATGCATGCTCTTTAGGACTGGTTCTGGGTTCGACCTTCACTCACTGTTCTGGGTTTGTGGCCTGGTGGCAAAGGGATAGTTTTATCTGTGGTAATACTAAGCCCAGAGTCTTTTCTGAATTTAAAGAGTACAGCTGCCATAGTTGGCAATTCCTTTTCTTCCATATGTATCAGACAACACCGTCTGAAGTAACACACACTGGTTATCTTAGTTTGATCATTAATCTTTCATTGCAAATTCTTCAGACATAGGGCAAATAGAGTTTGGGTGAGGGGACAGTCATGCCTTAACCATCTCTTGTCACATCGACGATTTGTGGGACCTAAAGTATGATCAGCAATTGGAAGCAACTTTGACCAGATGGGAAAGTCACGAGAAAGCACTTCCCTTAACCCCAGAGAGTCGATCAAAATCCATCTGTTTAAGATATCTGTTTTTTTGCATTGGAAATGTCTCAATCCACCGCATGTGCCGATGTCGCGCTTCCATATCAGCGGTAAAAGGTAGCAGAGCTACAGCAGTGCTTGTCAGACCATGAGACATTCCAAAAAACGGTCTTCTCATGAAAACATCTGTAGGGCCAGAATGGTTTGGCCTACAAAATATTATGACACCTCTATGGAAAGATGAGACACTCACGAACACGATGGTGTTCTCCAGGACTCGTCTGAAGTCAGTACTGCAGATCTGCCAACTTCTGTCTGTAGTGTCCAAACAGTATGGTACCTTTCCCCAGATCTGTGCCTTGACACAATCTTGTCTCGGCACTCTACGGACAATTTCTTCGACCTTATGGCATGGTTTTTGCTCGGACATGCACTGTTAACTGTGGGACCTTATATAGACAGGTGTGTGTCTTTCCAATTCATGTCCAATCAATTGAATTTACCACAGGTGGACTCCAATAAAGTTGTAGAAACATCTCAAGGATGATCAATAGAAACAGGATGCACCTGATCTCAATTTCGAGTCTCATAGCAAAGGGTCTGATTATGTATGTGAATAAGGTATTTCTGTTTGATTTTCTTTATTTAAAATTTGCAAACATTTATAAAAACCTGTTTTCGCTCTGTCATTATGGGGTATTGTGTGTAGATTGATCAGATTCTTCAACAACAACAAAAAGGAAGTTAGAAGTCATTTTGCGAGCCAATGCTAACTACTGGAAGTCTATGGGAATCTGATAGCCATAGACTTCCAGTCATTGCGCTAACACTAATTAGCAATTGGCTAGCGCTAGTTTGCATTTTCCTTCAAACTGCACGCAGAGACAAAAAAACGTTATCCACGAGTTCATCTGACTCTTGTGATTTTGCCAAAATCCCAAAGTATCCCTGTAAAGCCACATTATAGTAATGTATATGTCTATGCTTCTAATACTTACAGAATAAATGCAATTAGGAGCATTTAATTGATATTTCCTATGCATTTCTCTTTATAGTGCATGCAAAATGTGTGCATGAACTTATTCCAAATAAGTTTTGTCTTTAAATATGTTAACACTTTAAAATCACAGTTATGTCAGATCATCTTCATTCTATTATAATTTCAATCCCAGACTCCTCTCTGATGTGGTAGAGGTGGTCCTCAGCTGATTGTACTCCCAGAGTGTCTATGTAGATCTTAAGACTCCTTCTTTAGTAGCTGATTCTAGTGGTGACATTTGGGATGACTCTGGAAATGTCGTCCTCCATGTATTTCAGACAAAGGCTGAATAGGGCTGGGGTGAGGGGACAGTCATGACGTAGACGTTTCGTATCTACACACGAATGGTCAACCGTTAGAAGCAACTTCTGCAAATCCTGAGAAAGCACCTTCTTCAAAATGTTGTCCTCTTTAGGATTTTCTTGTTGTGGAATTGCCTTCATTGATTTAATTGCAATGCTTAAGAACTTCCAATTGATTCCATTAATGACCAAAGTAACAGTGCGATGCAGACTCAGGGGTTTCTTGGTCCTTTGATTCCAGGATTCCAAGGATTCCAAGTACATCTGCAGACGATTGGCAAGTATTGTAGCAAATATTTTGTACTCTTTGCTGAATGTTTTAGGGTTTTCTTATTTTCCATTTCCTCTGTGAGTACTTTACAATAGTATTTTAATATTTATATTTCCATAAGGTTATCTAACCTTGAATCATATGTTGTTAAATCTAATCTTGAATAATTTAATTCACATCATGGTGATTGTCTGGAGTCATCTGACCTTGAATCATGTATTGTTGATTGTGTGGAGTCATCTGATCTTGAATCATGTAGTGTTGATTGTCTGGAATCATCTGGCCTCGATGGCGACTGTCTGGTGTAATCTGACCACCTTGATAGGGATTGTCTGGAGTAAACTGACTTCGATGGTGATTGTCTTGAAGTGGTTCCCACATTCTAATGCTGTCTTTGGTCACAGCATTTAGAAAATAATATTTTATTTCCGAATAAAATGTTGGCTATTAGTTATGCCTCTATGGAAGAGGAGTCTGTGATAATGCTTTACACACACATTTGGGTATCAATATGATTTATATGACAGTTAAATGATTGTGTTTGGTCTGAGCAGGTTATTCAGGAATGTTATGATTATTACAGTGGTGTGAACCCTGATGTCTGGAACCTTGTTGTTAAAATCTGGTGCTCCCAGAGTTAGAATTTATTACAATCAGTTCATACGAAGAATACTTTTTTAGTTTTGTGGGTTTTAGTTTTTTGGTTTTCACATTTTAGTGAAGAATGTAGCATCTTCTATGAAGAGCGAACTGCAATAAGACTTTTGAATTTTCTTTCTTTTGCTATTTGTGAATTATCCTTTTTTATTTGTCTTAATTTGTTGTTCTTTGTTTTACTTCAGCAAGTCCTATAATCAAGATGAATTTAGACAATATACACACACAAATACACACACACTTGCAAATATACACACATGCAAATACACACCTTTATTTTTGGAAGAGAGACATATTATGTACAATGCACAGGAGTATGTTCATAATGAGAGCTCAGGGACTTCAGATTAACTTGTGGTTTCAAAGGCCTTTGTAACCTGAGAAACCCATCAAAATATTTAGTTGATTTTATATTTGATATACAGTCGGCAGAACCCTGATAAGACTGAGACATTGCATACTCCTGGAAGCATCATAGGTTACCTCAAACATCTATTAAGTATAATATTTAGCTACAGTAGTTATTTATATTCCTATCAAGACGGATATGCAATGACGAATACAGCAATATGATTTTTAAAAATAAGATACAGTTACATCTAAATAACATATACGTTTGAAAATACATTTACGTTTATATAGGTAGTAATGTATAGGCCCAGATATCACATATCCCTGGATATGAAGTCTAATTCCACTTATTTAATGGTTTATGATCTAACCTGATGACATGTTTGTCACAGATAATACATGCTCTGTAGGACTGGTTCTGGGTTTGACCTTCACTTTGCTACTATCTTTCCTTCCTTTGGGATCCCATCCATCGTAGTGGATTTGGTTTGGTGTGGGTCTGTCTGGCCATGGGTCTGGTGATAGCTGAAGACACCGATGGCTGAACAGGCACTCAGGGCCCATAGCATGCAGTATGGAGAGCACTGGTTCAACACTTCATGGATGTAGTTCCATATATGTTTCTTATATTTTCATGTTATTTTGTTTATCTCATTGTGAAGCTGAAGGCAATATCCACATTTAGAGAACAGTAACAGTTTCTCTAATAATCTTCAAAGAACGTTTCATTTCATTTGAATGTCCATCATCATCCACAATTTTACATTAAATTACGTTCCAACTCAGGCCAGACTCCTTTCTGATTTCAGACAGCAGTTTGTCCACAGGATGCTTTTTCTCTTGTTCCATGTAGATCAAAAGACTCCGTCTTTGACGGCTAACACTAAGGACTGTGCCTGTCTTCTGGATTCGGTGCTCCATGTACTTCAGACACAAGTAGAGTAGTGCTGGGGTGAGGGGGCATTCATCCTGTAGATTTTTTTGGGTAACCAATGAACTTTCAACCATTGGGAGTAACTTCCACAAGATGCCCAAGTCCTGAGGAAGCACCTGCTTTAGGATTGTGAAGTCTGTAGGGGGAGACTGAATTATGAGAATGGACTCCAGGGCTTTGCTTAAGAATTTCCACTTAATCGATGGTTGCCTGGACAGGGAAACTATGTATGTGGTAGTATGTGGTGGTATTTTAATCCTTCCTTTGAACGAGGGTGCTAGGTACATCTTCAGACGGTTGGAAAGTATTGTGGCAAATATTTTGTACTCTCGGTTATTGAATCCGTCAGGTATTTGTTTCTCCCCGCTGAGCATTCCATTGTAATTATGCTTTAATGTCTCTGTTTCCATAAGGTTATCATCCGTTGATCCATTTGATGAGTCGGTCAAGGATTTCATTGCTATAAGAACTTCTGCTCCACTGATTTTTCCTACTCTTCTATCTAATATGGTATTGTCTATTAGTCCACCATCAGCCAGCTTTTGATGAACATCTGTTAACGTTCTTCCTATTTTAGGAATGTGGATCATCAGAGACACAGGGTTGTGATCTGAAATCTCTGGGACAGTGTGAATCTCACAGCTCTGAGCACATGTGGCTTTGTCCTGTTGCATGAAGAACATATCTATCCGGGAGTGACTGGTGTTCTGAGATCTAGTGAAGGCTTCTTCTGTTGGGTGTAGTCTTGCCCATGTGTCTTGGAGGTTCAGTGAGGAAATGAAACTCTGCAGGAGAGGTCGTAAGGCTGTGTTCCGTCTGTGTTCAGATGCTGTACTCTTGTCAAAGTCAAGGTCCAAGACTGTGTTGAAATCCCCCCCAATCACTAAAGTTCCAATCTTCATCTCCTGAAGATACTGCGACAGCCTCCCCAGTACTTTCTTGTCTTCTTTATGATTGTACACATTCACTAGAGTGAAGAGTTGACCATACATCTGACAGAACAGCACAATGTAGCCACCAGCGTAATCTTCATCATGGCAGATGTACTGATAGTGTGATTTTAGTTTTTTATTCACCAGTATGGCCACTCCTTTGCTACTCGGTGAGTAAACAGTAAAGTAGGAAGTCCAATGTCTTTCCATCTCTTTCCATCCATCCTCTTCATAGCAGTTAGGTCCAATGTGAGTTTCCTGAAGAAATATTATATCAGCCTTCTGTTCTTCAAGATGGTTTATGATATCAATTAACTTATTTGTGTGGCGTTTTGTTGGTTTAACACCACAAGTGTTCCAGGTGATGATAGAGAGAATATTTGCTGTAGATTTTACCATAGTTCTTGCCATAGTTGTTTCTAGGTTGGATTCTATAACATAAAGATATTGAGTTCAAAATAAATGGCTTTAAATCAGACTTTCCTCCTTCTAACCAAAAGATTCAGCCAGATTCAGCATGTATTTGCACAAGCGCAGAATTAACACAACTTTTTTCCAGAAGATAATTTAAAAAACAAAGCTTAAATATGAATCACTGCTTATCTAGCATTTACCATCTACATGTAATAATGGTGAAGTTCTACACTCATCTGCACATCAATATATATAAAAAACAATGTATAATAACCTCACCTGTGTAGCGCTGATCCAGGTGTGTCTTCTCTGCTGTGCTGTATGACCTCTGATACTCAGGTGAGTGTCTTTAAATAATAAAGGTTGCGTGCATCTTAATAAACATCCACACCCAACTCTGCATCATACCAGCACTGATGATTAGGTAGGTGCCGGTGATCAGACTCATGGAATGCCCCTCGACCGTGAGTCAGACAGTTACACATGAGTTTTGTTTCCTACTCCCAGCTTGAATCACTACCTTTACATGTGATCAAGCTAATTATGTTATTGTTGAAGTAGGAATTACTGCCAATGTCATCAAATATATATTTTTTATTAAAGTCCTATTATTGTATTTTATAGAACATCTCACTTGTATGTATCTTAAACATTTAGAAGTAATTAAATCAGGAGGATTAGATTTGTCTCTAATTGACTTTACATTGTAAGGTGTAATGTATAATTGCTGCATCCTTTGTTTTGAGGGGTGGGGGGCGTGTGAATTTTCTTATTTTTATTTTTATTTTTGTCTTACTTTCGGAGTTAAGGAATGTCTTCGAGGACACATTACATTATAAGTTTAGTGACTGCAGTGCAGGATGTACTAGATAACTGGGTTATGATTCAATTAACTTTCTTGAGGTCCTTTCTATAACTTCACAAAGTTATCCTGTGTTTGTTCAGTCTGTACAGAGACAATGGAGGATTACTGTGTCTTAGGTGTTAAATGTCCTTTTGTGATTCCCTTTACTAATTACAGTGGAAATGCTGGTGTGTCATCGCTGTCGTGCAGTATGACCGGTGATACTCAGGTCACTTTAAATATAAAATGTTGTATGCATCTAGAAAAACAACCACACCCACAGCTGCATCATCAAATACTTTTTATTGCAATTTTTATAAAAGTTAAAGCCACATTATAGTAATTGATATGTTTATGTTTCTGAAACCTATAGAATAAATGCAATTAGGAGCATTTAATAAATATTACTTTTACTTTTGATACTTAATTATATTTTAGCAATTACATTTACTTTTGATACTAGGTCTCCCGAGTGGCGCAGGGGTCTAAATGCTCCTAATTGCATTTCTTCTATAGGTTTCAGAAACATAAACATATCAATTACTTCTCTGCTAGCTGTGCCACTAGAGATCCTGGTTCGAATCCAGGCTCTGTCGTAGCCGGCCGCGACCGGGAGACCCATGGGGCGGCGCACAATTGGCCCAGCGTCGTCCAGGGTATGGGAGGGAATGGCCGGCAGGGATGTAGCTCAGTTGGTAGAGCATGGCGTTTGCAATGCCAGGGTTGTGGGTTTGTTTCCCACGTGGGTCCAGTATAAAAAAATAATAATGTATGCACTCACTAACTGTAAGAGCGTCTGCTAAATGACAAAAAAATGTAAGTATATTTAGAACCAAATACTTTTAGACTTTTACTCAAGTAGTATTTTACTAGGTGACTTTAACTTTTACTTGAGTAACTTTCTATTAAGGTATCTATACTTTTACTCAAGTATCACAATTGGGTACTTTTTCCACCACTGGCTACTGATATTCAGGTGAGTGTCTTTAAATATTAAAGGTTGCATGTATCTAAACAAACATCCACATGCACCTCTGCGCCACACCAGCACCTATCTTTAGATAGATGCCAGTGATATGACCCATGAAAACAGTTTTAATTTCCATTGAGTTTACATTTCCAATACAGGTTTTTAATCACTACCTTT